CAGGGGCCGAGGAAAGGGCCTGGGCGACGGAGTCCACAGTCCTCCTCCCTCCAGCCCTCCGCCTGCCACCCACACAGACACCTTTCACCCCAGGCCCTGCCTCCAGGCTGTACCAGGAGGCCACCTGACGCTGGGAACAGCTGTAGGGCGGACCTGCAGGTGGGAGCACAAGTGGGAGCAGGGGGGTGCAGGTAGAAGTGTGTGTGGGGCCCCTGCTGAGGAAGTCCTGCCTCGGTGGCACCTCGGGTGAGCTGCGAGGAAGATGACCTTACCTTACGAGAAGAGTGCTTTTCCGAACTGTCCAGGTCTCCATCCAGGAAGGGCATGGCAAAGGAGCTCAGGTCCTAGGATGGAAGCGGAGCACGTGGTCAATGGCAGTGGCCCTCAGGTGCCCACCTGCCCCATCCAGGGGCTGCACCTGGCTCCATGTGTGTGTCCTCCCCTCCCTTCCTGGTCGTCCTTGAAAATCAACCATTAGGGAGGGACCTGGATGGCGAACCGGTGGAAGAACGGGGGTGATGACACCCTAACACCCCCCCGGAGATCCTGACCAGGGTCCACGTGGCTTCCAGAACAGGAAGTGGCTGCCCGGTCACCTGTCACCAGGTCACCTGTCACCCAGGGGGAAGGAGCAAGAAAGAAGAGGCGGGGACTCGGGCAGGTGGGGAGGAGCCAGCGGGGAGCGGGAGTGGAGGGAAAAGGCCCATCTTTGGGGCACCGGCGACGGACAGCACTGAGCTCAGGCCTGGGTGCGCCCTGAAATCTCCTGCGGGGCTTGGGTCTCAGGGGGACGCGAGTTGACTGGTCTACGGTGTGGTGCAGGCATCCCAGTGATCCAGCCGGCAGCCCAGGTGGACAGCCACCCGCGTCCCACAGTGACTGTCGGGATGAGCCACCCGGCCTCGCCCTGCAGGCTCCAGTCCAGGCCCCGTGGACTTGCTGATCCCACAGCCTTACTTTTTCACATGCTCTGCGCCCCGGCTCCTTCTTTTAGCAACAGCCCAGGACGACCTTTTGTGGTTTTTCCAAACACGGCTCGTCTGGAACACTCTCCTTAACTGCTCAGACACCTCAGTTCAAGGCCACTCGACTCCTTCCCAGAACACCCCCCGGCCCCCGACAGTGCCAGCCTCGGCACGGAGCCTGGCCCAGGGCTGTGCATGACCAGCAGCCGGCTGCCACCCTCCAACCACCCCGAGCCCTTCCCCCCTCTGTGCTGTGCTGCTCCTCCGGCCCTCCACGCCCAGCCCCCAAATCCTGGTTCAGAGCGAACTCCTACACATCCTGCAAAGCCCAATTCAAATATTATCCCTGGCTGGTCCCCATCCTCGAGCAGAATCAATTCTTCTCTTATCTGTGTTCCCACAGCCCTTCAGTCGTACCTGCAGGGCCACGGGCTGCATTCCACCCCCTATCAGTCTGTTTCTCTAACAAGACCCTACACCAAGGGCAGGAGGAGCTATTCATCTTGCTATTCCCGGCTGGTCTGCCTGGCATACAGCAGGTGTGCAAAAGCGTTTGAATGAACTCCTGAAAAAGGCACCCCCCGCCCCTGGCCCCAGCATGAGAGGCGCGCCGTGCGCACTGACGGCCCCGCAATCAAGCAGGCACCACGCGGCTCCGTTCCCGGGGAGCGAGGGGCAGCCAGGCGTGGGGCGCTTATCTCCCTTTCTAACGAGAACATTCCTCTCCAGCCTCCGATAATCATCACCCTCGGACGTCTGTTCAGCACGTCGGTTTCCACATGCGGAAGCCCTTTTATAGATGCTCTAACGTTCCTCCCCTAAGGACCGGCTGCCGGGGCCCCGGTGGTTCACCGGCTCATGTCAAGATGGTCCTGAAAGAGCCGAGACCGGGACGCGGCCCGGCTCCTGTCACTGGCGGCCTGGGGCGGCCCCACGCAGCTGTTTCCAACCTGAGCGAGGGTGTCCAGCCCACCGCCCGCCCGCTGCCTGGCGCTGCGTGTTTGCCCAGCCAAGCGTCCCCACGGGCAAGTCCCTTGGCACGAGTGGTGGCCTGTGCTGGAAGTCTCCCCCGCCCCGCATTCCGCGATCTGAATCTCCCGGAGCTCACCAGGAAATGGCGCGCCTAGGAGGCCGGTGGGGGAAAATCTCCAGTGAGGGCCACGGGGCCATCTGCTGGCCCAGTGACGGGGACCTGGCCTCTCCGGCCGGCTGACGTTCCAGAGGGCCCGGGCGGCGGAGCTCATCCTGTCGGCATGATTTCGTGACTTTAAACTCCCACCAGAGCCTCACGCTCTCCTCGCTGCTTCATCTACCCCTTGCCCCCCTCCACGGTCCCGTCGGCCTCCCTGGGTGCTGGGTGGGCATTTTATTGGGCGATGTTGAGGCACCAAGAGACAGCTTTATACTCTGGGCTTGTCAGACCGTGGCCACATGCCCTGGAGAGGAGCATGTAGGAGGGTGTTTGGGGATGTGAATCATCAGGATTGGGGCTGATGATGTCACCTGTCGGGGAAGCACCGGACGAAAGAGAAAAGCCCCACGTTTGGGAAAATTCCCGAGATGCGATCTGACCTTGAAAGCGGATCATTTACCCCCCCATCCCTACCCCTCTACAGAAATCCAGACAGAAGTCAGAAGTCGCTCGCAAAAAAGCAAGGCGTCGATGGCGGGGCCGTCACTCGTCTGCCACCGGCGTGTCCTTAAATCTTCCCATCATCGCCTCACTTAGAGCAGCCCCTGCAACTAGGAAAGGCCGGTGGTATCCTCCCAGCGTGCAGATGAAGACACTGAGGGTCGGGGAGGCTACTTAGGCCTCTTGCTCAAAGCCAGACAAGCAGACCGGGGCAAGCAGGCCCTGCGACCCGGGTCCACCCACTCCCAGCTCAGAGCTCTTTCTGTTCAACTCCGCCACCTCCCCGGGGTGGCCCGGCGCCAGGAACAAACACCCGCTCGGCGTCCGAGGCTGCGAAGACCGAGGGCTCTTCCGTGAAAAACGAGAATCCCCGGCACGGCGAGGCCTCGGGGGAAGGGGAAGGTGGGTGAGGGTTTGCACAGCTCAGCGAGTCACCCCCGAGGCAGCGGCGATACTAACTTTCTCTCCAAGGGTTACTTTTTTTCTTTTTAATTTTTTTTAAAAAAATGTATCTTTATTGATTTCAGAGAGAGGAAAGGAGAGGGAGAGAGAGAGAAACATCAATGATGAGAGTCATCGATCGGCTGCCTCCTGCACGCCCCCGACTGGGGATCGAGCCTGCAACCCGGGCCTGTGCCCCGACCGGGAATCGAACCCCGATCGCCTGGATCCCAGGTCGACACTCAACCGCTGAGCCACGCCGGCCGGGCGAAGGGTTACTTTTTAATTAGAAACAATTCGGACGCAGATGTTGCCAAGGACAGGGAGTGTGGAGCGTCCCACCGCCCGGCGGGCACGGCTACACTCTGCAGAGTTGGGGCTTGTTCCTTACAGCTCCCTGCACCCCTGATATTCAGCCCGCGTTTCTCCATAAGGTAACGGCTCTGTCCTGTTACGGCCGAGGGATGCGTGGGTCCCCGCAGGACGGGGCTGCCTCACTCGCGCCTCGGCCTCGGCCAAAGATGCCGGCGGGTCCGACGCGGTCCTGCCCGGTCAGCGTTTCCGACGCTCGGCCTTACGAAACCTCTTTGTTGATGCAGCTGGGGTACCCCAGAAAGCAGCCCGCCGAGCGCGCAAATGAAGGACAAACAGAGCGGCTGCCAATGTCAGGGGCACAGCCGGCACCCGAGGGCCAACGGGGGGGGGGCGGTTCAGATGTCGGGGTCACGATCGAACATTCCTGCAAAATGACCGGCCGGCCGTTTGATTCCCGCCGAGGAAGGAACACATGGAGCGAGGTTTTCGCTCCGCGCCATGCTGAGCAGACCCGAGGACGCCGCGTGCCGGGGACATCTGGAGCCAGCCAGCCACCCGGGCACACCCCAGTCCCGGGTCCCTCGGCAGGTAGGGACACGACCTGCTCAGAGCGAGCGAGACAGAGGCCGGGCACCAGCCCCTGCTGTTTGCCCCGGGGGTCCCCGGGCACGTCCGGATTCAGTCTCACATCTGTCAAATGAGAGGGTTTAGCCGGGTAATTTCAGAAAATGCCTTTAAGCTCCCAGGTCCTCTGTTCTTATCTGTTGAGCTAAACAGCAGGTGGGGTCTGGAGTCCTTTAGAGGGGTGCTGCCCCGTCGAGAATAAAACGCACTCTCCCCTCTACGGCCAGTCAGGAGAATAAGCTTTTCTGCTCCCGAGCCTTCAAATCCTCTCCCTGGCCCTCGGCGCTCGGGGCCTTCGGGCCGAGTCTTCATGAACTCAGGCGACACCAAGGGCAGGAGAAGGCCGTGCCCTTCGAGCCCCTGGTGATGCTTCACAGAGGTGGTTACGACCCAGCGGCATTTGTCACTTTCCCCCTGACGTACGTCTTGATCACCTTCCGAGTGCTGAGCTCTCGGTTCTCGATCCATTTCTAAGGCCCCTCAAATTTTTTAAAAAAATGCATTTTTATTGATTTGAGAGAGAAGAGGAAGGGAGAGGGAGGGACAGAGGCATTGATGAGGGAGAAACACCGATTGGCTGCCTCCTGCACGCCCCCTGCTGGGGATCGAGCCCGCGACCCGGGCACGCGCCCTGACCGGGAATCGCACGGCGACCTCTTGGCGCCCGGGCCGATGCTCTAACCACTGAGCCGCGCCCGCCGGGCTAAGGTCCCTCAACCTTAAGCATCTGGGTGGTCAGGACAGATGCAGGGGGGTCCTAGCAGGCGCTCGGTGTGATTCCAGGAAAGCCATGAGTGGCATCCCCTGAACTATGGGTCACTCAGGTTCCCAGGCGGAACCCCCTGCCCTGCCCATCTCCCCTGCTCGCCCACTCCCCGTCTGACACGGAGGGAGCTGCCCACACAGCTCAGCCTTGTCTGTGTCTGGCCTGTTGGGACCATGGCTTGAAGCTGGCCTCTCGGTGGCGAGGGCCTTGGCGAGACCTCGGGGGGGGCACAGGGAGGTGTCTCCAGGTGGACCGGCTGCACAAAACCTCGACTCCGCCACACGGACAATTCCTGGTACCACGGCGGGGGGGCGGTGACCAGAGCCGAGGTCAACTGGAGCCTTTGAAAAACACTCACGTTATATAACCGCTCTCAGAAAAAAATAAGGAACCAACCCTGAATCCCTGGAACTCGGCAACGGGGGTGGGACCGGAGCCAAACGAGGGGAAGGCCTAAACTTAACTCTCGGAGAGGTGCCAGCATTCTGTTTTCCACAGAGGACACCGTGGCTCCTGACTGCAGTCGGAGAGGCTTCCTGATGTAGGAAAGAAAAGAAAACCACGATTTTTCACTCCGGTGCCACCCCCCCCACC